GAAGAAGCAAGTTATGGCATATATCGTATATAAAAATATTGCACCAAATGTTACTCCCCAATTAATTGTCCATGCTAGAAAATCTTGACTATGAAGGAACCTTATCCACGGCACAACGTCTTAAAAGTAAAACAATATATATCAGATTTTTGAAAAAATAAAAAATAAAAAATAAAAATAAAAAAAATATAAATCATTCTACATACCCGAAGTAATGGAAACGTGATTAATCGTTGAAACCAAGGATTCTAAATGTAACATACCATCTTTACGAAGCAAAGTCACGCCTACTTTGGTATTTTTGAATAAATTATGATCTACCATAAATAGTTCCTTAATTCCAGGATCTCCATTATTCAACAATGTAAATAAAATAACTTGTGGAACTACAGATGTTGGTTCGCCTCGTTGTTTCATTAATATTTTATTATTGATTTGATTTCTATTTATAAAATGTTCGTACTTTTTAGTTAATGGAAATGTTCGTTTTGTGGGTTGCATTGATGAATCGTTTTGTGGGATTAAATAAGTTTCATTAGGTAAAATTTTTGCTCTCCTATCCTCATCATTTTGAAAATTATCAGGAAAGACCAAATCATGTGTTATCCATTTATTGCTGCAAGAAAAATTACGTGAATTCAAATTCGCAAAATAAAGGGGAATAATAATAATATATTAGAAAGTCAAACTTAATTTTACCTTAATAATAAATCGGAAAATGAGTTACAGGCATAAATTCGGTCACTTGTAATATTTGTTAGAGGAATACCAATAAAGTGACTCCTATCTGAATAGGTTTAAGTATACAAGGAGCAACACTATTATCAGATTCATCTTGATTATCATCTCTCTCTAAAAATTGAGCAAATTCTATTTTTCCTCTAATAATGTCATTATTATAATAATCATTATTTTTATCCGAATTCTTCAAAAATAATAGATCAAAATTTTCCAAAGAATCAAATTCATTATTTTTTTTTATCATATAATGTTAATTTTGCATCAACAAAATTTAAATAATTTCCAAATAATATAAAACAAAATGTTAAGCACACATAATTATGTATCGATATTTTTGTAGAATTATAAATTAAATTAAATCAAATCATCATGATATGTTAGGAATAACAAACTTTTTTTTTTTGTTTAAAAAAAAATAAAAGAATGTAGTTTGAAGAAACTATACTATAATATCATGAGAAGTATTTATTTAGTAATTTAAGGAGAACTTTCAAAGTTGGAATTATAAACAAAAATATTTAAAAAATCGGATTATTTTTAAATTTGTGATTCAAAATGTATCAAATAAAAAATAACAAACATAACATATTTATCTATACTAATCTAATAAAATAAAATAAAAAAAAGTAAACTAAAATGTAATACAAGGAGGATGATGAATAAAAAGAGAATTTCACTGAATGAGCCATTGCATTTAATATATATAATGTCACAAATTGATCCCAGCCGATATTAATATTGGTATCATTAATCTTGGTATTAGTTGTTTTTCCATTTTGATACAATGGAAACTGAAATTCGAAATTCTCAGTCAGATAAAAATGATATAGTTGGTATTGAAACTTTGTTTACCAGTTTTAGAGAAGCATTAAACCAACATGTATGTGTAATATTACATTCATTAATTTCTTATTATTATTATTATTATTATTCTTACTATAACTAATTTTGATAGTATAATAGAAGAGAAAGAATCATCAAATGTTCAAGGTTTAATAAAATTTTTATATGCAACTTATACATGAATTAATGCTGATCCAATTCCTTTATAAGGATATTACATATTTGAGTAAAAAGTTAATATTTCTTGCTCATAGGTTTATTTTAAATTTTTTTCTATTTATTTTCTTTATTCTTTTAATTGAAATTTTGATTTTTTAAATTTTGGATTATAAGAGCAAACCAAAAAATATTAAATCAGTTTTAGAAGAAACAGCAACAAAGAAAAAAGAAATACTTGAATTATTTCAACAAATTTCTTATGATTTAGAAGATGCAAATTATTATAGGTAGATTCTTAATTACTATTATGAGTTTTTTTAGGATATATCGAATTTTAATTTTATTGTAATCATGTTAAGTATCACAAAAATATTTCTCCTACAATTCAGAAATATATTGAAGCTGTGTCATTTCTATAATACTTGAAGCATAATCAATTAATCCCTAAGGATAATATTGATTTAGATTTTAAAGACCAATTAGGCAAACTTGTAACATATATTTATTTTTGCATCTTAATATCATATAAGTTGAATAATAACGTATATACACTTATGAAATTTTATTTTAGTTTCTTTACATTTTAGCTAAAAATTATATTCTAGATATAACTGATCTAACAGGCGAATTAATGTGTTATGCTATTAATAGTATTAGCAAAAGTGACCATAATTATACCATACAAGTTTGTCAATTTTTAAGAATTTAAAGGCTGGTAAGAAAAACTTTAAATTAAAATCATCTTTGTAGCTGAACAATATTAATCATTCATTTGCAATAGATTATGATGCTTTTAAAATTCCAAGCAAGTCTCTATTAGCAAAAAAATGGAAGGAATTAAAATGAATTTAATAAAGGTCGAAGACAGTACAGATATTTTAAGTTAATTTTTTTTAATAGTTCAGTTTGATTTACTTGTTTCACATTATATTTATATTCATCACCACTTAATAACTATCTATAATTAGCTTGTTACACTTTTACTATTAAAAGTTCTAGTAAATTTTCATTGCTACCTTATTACGTTTGTATCCTATTTTTAATATTTTCTAGATTATAACATATTTATTTGTTTTTCACTTGATTTGTTATTAATTACTCAAATCTTAGAATATCCAAAAGAATTTTATCAATATATAGTTAGTATGCATTCGAGAAATTATTAAGGTATAGATGTTGATGAATCTTAAAAAGTTTCACATATATTTTATTTTATTTTGTAATATATATTCATATCTATTTGAGGATTTTCATATGATTTGCTGATAATATTACACAATTTTTTATCAATCTATTTGATATGTACTTATTAAATAACGTATAAATATAGATATATGCTATATCTCATTTTTTTTGAAAACAATATTTTTCTATTGAAAAATTAGTTGAAAAATTTATTTTATTATTATTATGATAAAAACATTTTTTAATATTAAATCAAAAATAATACTTTTCCAATATTAAATTACTGATTTGATTTATAAGAAATACTATAATTAAGGCTTTTTAATTTAAAATATTATAAATATAAAAATTTAATAATAATTTGTATAATTACAACTAAGATTTAATAAAATAATATAATAGATCAAATAATATATAGTTATTAGTATTTATTATACAAGTAATTTAAGTAATATAAAATTGAATTTTTCTTAATTAAAATAAAATTCCACTTGATAATATATTAGATTTAACAAGATATTATAAATTATATATATTAATAACTAAAATTAAAAATTTAAGAATTAAAGTTAAAATCTAATTAATAATCAAATAGTTTAAAATTATAAAATATAAATTTTAACTATTTTACCTAAAATCCTTTTATTAAACAATAAATAGTAATATTTTTATAAAATATTAATAATAATAAATACTATTCAAAATTTTTATTATTTATGTTTTAATTCTTAAAATCTTAATTAAACATCAATTTAAAATTATAATAATTTTATAGTAAATAATAAATAATTTCTTAGCATTTAATTTTTTTATAAAAATTGTATTATTAATTAATTATTTATTTAATTAAATATATAATTTTTATATAATTAATTAGATACTATATATATAAGACCTTTAAAATAGAAAAAATAAATAATGAGTAAATATATTTTAACCTAAAAATCCTATTTGGTATATAAAAATAAAATTGATTTTTTTCTGAAAATTTTCTTCCTTTTTATTATAAAGATCCTATATATTTAAATTTTAATAATTAAAATATAATATAGAAAGTTTTTAATAAATTTAATTTATTAAATAAAATAATATATTAAATAAAATATATTATAAAAAAAATAAAAGTTATAATAAAAAACTTAATTTTTCAGATAATTATATTTTAAAAAAATTATAATAAATTAAAAAAATAGTAACTTTTAAATAAAATAATAAAATTAATGAGATAATACTTTTTTTAAATTAACTAATTTTATTAAAACTAATTTTTTATTATTTTAAATTAATTTAATTAATTTAGTTTTAAATTTAATTAATTTTGGCTAATTATTTTAAGATTTTATAATATATAGTAGTCAAAAATATTGTATTACTTAAATGTAATTTTTTGTGATTAAAAAGATATTATTATAGTCAGTTCTTTAAGATGCTTATAAGTGATAAGCAAAGCAATATTTTAATTGATAAGCAGAAGGTTTATTTTATATTTAGTTTAAAAAGAGTGTTGATAAATTTAACAGTTTATTTAATAACAATAATAATGGAATACTGCCTCAGTTAACACTCTATACTATACGAGTATATTAAAGGAATTAAACTAAACTATTTAATAAAACTATCTATTAAACATACTATTAAGCTAAAAGAAAGTATTCTATTTATATAAAATAAGATATATAAAATTATCGAAGATATAAAAAAATAAATAAAATATATGAAATAAATAAAAGATATTATATAAAAGAAATATATGCTATAGATGATATAAAAGACATATAAAACATATATAATTTCCTAGAAATTAATATTATCCTTTTGATCATCATCATCTATATCTTCTTCTATGTAATATCACTTCCTTCAAGATTTTGCATCTTCACATAAATTTCAGTGGTCTTATCTATTAAGTCATTATATTTGACCATTGATAGTCTAACTATCAACTTAAGGGTAATTTTTCTACTTCGTGCAATCTGTGCTAGTCTAAAGAATTCAAAAAGATAATATATCTATATAGATGCATGATAGTAATATTTAGATAATTTCTTGATATACATTAAGCAAACTATAAGGTCTTCTATTTCCTCTATAAACTTTTCAAGATAAAAGGTGTTTATCAGTATTAGAATATAATTATTCATTCATTTAGTTCTTTGTAATATTCGATTTACAAAAGAAAACTTCATTTTCAAAGGCATAGTTTCACTGTAAAATAAAAGATACATCTCAATTTCTTAGGGTATAGCAAGTTGCATGTAGGTATAGATTGCTTAAAAATTCTGGAAAAATATTTCATTATAAGTAAAAAATACTTTTAGTTCTTTCATTTTATTAATCTATTCATTTTTAAGTTAGGCTTCCTCTTATTTAAATATTTTCAGTTAAAATGTTCTAGCATTTTCCATAAATTTCTTTAATTTTTAATTAGTACAATGGGCTAAGGTAGATCACATTAGTAATATTATTTTAATCTATCATCATTAATAGGTATTTTTAGGATCTTTCTATCTAATGTTCTCAATTTATATACCCTATTCTCAAGATCAGCATGAATGTAATACAGTTCTTTTCATCTTTTCTCAAGCTTCTTTTTATCTTGTAAATTACTTTTATATATTAAGACTAATTCTTTTACTTTAAAATTAACTCTTCCTTTCAATTTGTGATCATGTTACTCCTTTTGCTTTTTTAGAAGTTCTAAATATTATTTTGTGTTTACTGTATTTTATTATTGATCCTTCCTATTATTTGTTATACATAGTTGATTAAATCTTCTTGTTTGTCTAATGTTACACTTTATATACTAATGTTTGTACTTGAAATTTAATTAGCAATGTAGCATTTTTCTTATAGGTTAAATAAAAAGGTTCATATTTAGTAGTACTATGCTTCTTTACACTAATCGAAATAGTCTGAATCAGTTAAAAATCAAATGGTTGATTTTAGGTCGATTTTGATACTATTTATGGCCAATTTGCCATGTTTTCTGATTGATACAAACAGGTGCTGATAGACGTCAATTGACTCCAATTGGACATGGCTATTCAGAACTTAAATTCAACCATAAATCAGCCTAAAATTGGCCTTAATTTGGCAATAATTTAGATGTCGATAGATACTGATTGATCCAAATTGAATATAGCTATTTAACATCAATTTAGAACTTAAATAACCATAAATTGACCTAAAATTGATCTCAATTCAGACGCTGATTGATGCTAATTGATGCTGATCAACTCTAATTAGACAAGCAATTCAGTACTAATAATCAGTACATTTTATTTATTAAATTTATTAAATATTAAAATTTTATTAATAATAAAAACCTAATATAAATTTGCAAAAATATAATAAAAAAATATCACTAAAACTTACTGATTTAATTTCCTATTAAAAATAAAAAAATAAAATAATAAAATATGACTCATTTCCTCCTAAAATCCCCTTAAATTATCCTAAATATAGGTAATAAATAATATATGATAAAAATATGATCCATTCCTTCTAAAATCATCTAAAAAATGTAAAAATAATAAATATAAAATGTAAAAAATAGAAAAATCAACCAAAAATCATCTGAAAAAATGTAAAGATAATTATTAAAATTAACCTGTTCCCACCCAAATCACCTGAAAAAAATGTAAAGATAATAAAAAATCAATCCATTCCCCAAATCGCCTGAAAAAACGTAAAAAAATAATTAATAAATCGATCTGTTCCTACCCTAAATTGTCCAAAAAAAACATAAATATAATAATAAAAAATTGACCTGTTCCCCAAATCACCTGAAAAAAATGTAAAAAATAATTAATAAAATTAACCTATTTTCATCCCAAATCATCTGAAAAAATGTAAAGATAATAAAAAATAGACTTATTCACCAAATCGCTTGAAAAAATCATAAAAAATAATTAATAAAATCGATCTGTTCCCACCTCAAATCGTCTGAAAAAACGTAAAGATAATAATAAAAAATTGACCTGTTCTCTAAATCACCTAAAAAAAACATAAAAAATAATTAATAAAATCAACCTATTCCCACCTCAATTCGTCTGAAAAAATGTAAAGAAAATAATAAAATAATAATAAAATTGACCCGTTCTCAC